TGTGCGTGTTTGTGTGTGTGTCTGTGTGTGTATGTGCGTGTTTGTGTGTGTGTGTGTGTGTGTGTGTGTGTGTGTGTGCGCGTGTATGTATGTGTGTGTATGTGCGTGTATGTGCGTGTATGTGTGTATATGTGTGTGTGTGAAGCGATTATCTAATACAATTCGAATCTTTGTGAGACAGTTCCCCTCTGTTGAGGAGAAAGGTGGCCACAGTAGACAGGTGGTTGTCTTCTGCAATAACATTGTGAAGAAGGAAGGGTGCTGACAAAATGAGTTACTTCTTGGATTCAAGCCCTACAGCTATGGAAATCGCTACATCACGCTTATACGTGAAGGTTTTACAATTTATAAGCATGAAATAATGTAAGGCATCTTATACTTAAAGAATACGACATCAATGAAAAATCTACAAATTTGACCCTAGTGTCTATTTTTTGGCCAATATCTCCATTTAATTAGTGGATTGTGAGAAATAACTCATGTTGTCAGCACATCTGGATATCTACATCTATTATCTATTTGTGGTGGCCCAATGTTGCTATTCAAAAGACTTTTTAATGGCTGCATCGATCGACATGCAGTTTTCGCCAAAAGATTCTTTAAAATATTCTCCAGATCATGACGCCCTTCATTTGTTCAGTTTTGAGACAGTTTTGTGCAAAAAGCTAAATTTCTTTATCTAGCCGATCGCTTTTATAGGCCGACGCTACTGTCTCTGTAATTTTAGAAAATCCGCTAGGTTCGTTTATTTCAAGTCGTACTTCCGTTCGATGCTATCGCGCATTGTCGCGCAATACTGAGCACTATTTTAAGTGTGCGACCGGTGTATAGATCTAGCCTCAAGTTTTCTTTTTTTACTAGGTGCTAAATTCGACTGTGATCCTTTCGTTTGATGCCCATCGTCACTTTTTCTGGACTTCTTTGTCAAATCTTTTTCTTGCTACTGGGAACAATCCACACGCTTCTGTACAACCACAAAAGATGTTTGTGAAGGATCTGAGAGCAATGATGATTCTCAACGATCTGTGTTCTTTTCAGTGCCGTTGTCGTTTTGCAAACTGGTTCACACGTTATATATAGCAAGGTACATACTCGTACAACTGTGATCTGATGAAACGCATATTTTTGTGTCGATATCGGGAAGAAAAAAGTTTAATCAGATCACAGGTGATGTGGACGGTCGATAAGCAAGAAAAAAAATGTGTTTTATCAGATCATCTGTGAAAAAAAAAGTTTCATCAGATCACTTTGGAAATAAATGCGTTTTAACAGATCTAAAATGCTAATGTATTCAAATTCAAAACTAGTCGCAATAAGGCTTTCATAATTATGTCTCAAGATTGCTTTCTGCCTATAGAATTCATTAGGGGAATAAAAATATTTTCCCGTCAAAATGAAAAAGTGGGTGGTTGGCGGGTGCTCTGGTGTGGTTTGCTCCTTCTTTCCTATCAAACATCTATCGTCCTGATCTCTCCTCCTTCTTTTGTTTGTGTTTGTTACTCTCTTGTAACACCTCTAATCTTCGACTCTTATAATACCTTATTGTTTTGCAAGTGCCGTAAAACTCTTACTATAACTAAATGAAAAAAAAGCGTTTCATCAGATCACGGCAGCACACAGCAGTTGGAAATGTGAGGTGCGCTGACAAAATGAGTTACTTCTCCGATTTTAGCCTTATGGAAATTGTTACATCAACTTTATAGGTGAAGTTTGTACAGTTTGTAAGTATGGAAGAATAAAAGACATGGTAGACTTGAACAAAATGGTATCAATTAGAAATCTATAAATCTGACCGCAGTGTCGATATCTCCATTCTTGGACAGCGAGAAGTAACTCATGTTGTCAGCACACCTCACAAATGCATCTGGCCTGACGCTGTATACATTATGTTATTATATTTAACGAAGTTATTGGTATTGTTTTTTGTTGCTATCATTCTTATTATTATTACTATTATTATTATTATTATTATTATTATTATTATTATTATCATTATTATTATATTATTGTTATAATTATCATCATGATATCTTTATTATTGTTATTGTTATTGCCGTTGTTATTATTATTGTTATTGTTGTTACTTTTACTATTATCATTATTATAAAAATTATTATTATTATTATTATTATTTAATATTAATACTATTATCATTATTATCATTATTATCATTATCTTAGTTATTTTCATAATTATTATGGTTATTATCATTATTAATTATTATTATCATCATTATTATTATTATCATCATCATAGCTATCATAGATTATGATTATCACCAATGCTTGCTACTAATGCGTAGGCTACAAACGTCTTGGTTTTGAGCGGTTCCACACAATCAGATAAAGCTGGGATTGTACAAACTTGGTATTTCCTCACTTTGTAACCACCAACACTCCCCCTGCCCCCCCCCCTCCACCTCCCCCCTCTCCTCGTATCTGTGTTATCAAAACCTTTATAACTCAGCGTTCTTAGTTCGTTGAGAATTCTTTGCCGTATCGACAGACCGAAGGGCTAGAACCCAAATGGCCGCTGGATCGGAAAAGTAAAGTAAAGAGTAAAGCAGTTCGTTGAGAATCACTTTCGCTGCTGTAATCACAGAAAAACAACAACCCATCCCGGACAATGATGTTTTTTATGTTGTCATAGTTATGTCTTACTGTTCAGTATGTTTGTTTTAAATGTGTGACCAGTGTGGACCATAGGCCTTTCTACAAATGAAAACACCCCCAGTATTCAAGAAAAAAATTGGGTCATATTAAACAATAGATCAAATACACAATGACGAAAGGGGAATACTGCAACTGTGGGTGTTTGGCAGGTGATCTGGCGTGGTTTGCTTCTTCTTTCCTATGAAACATCTATCGTCCTTATCTCCCCTTCTTCTTTTTTATGTTTGTTTCTCTCTTAGAACACCTCTAATCTTCTGGCGCTCATATGACCTTATGCAGTTACCAGCGCCGTAAAACCTCTACTAAAACTAAACACCCCCAAAATCCGTTTCCCCCTGAAGTATTCATATTAAAATAGTAAGACCTATTTTAACATATTTCCTTTTGATTTATTTATAGACACTGCAGCTCCTGACAGTTAGGCTAATCTAGCGTTACCCGTGAACCATAAGCAGTAAGTTGTTGAAATACAAAGTTGGTTTTGTATTTTCTCCAGGTGGTGATAATGCTGGTTCTCCGCCTGTCAAGTGAAGAGCCCTTCAGTGATAACATTCGGCGAGCCCCTGAGATAGGCGCTAGTCAAAGCGGAGAAATCGGGTAGTCCCTGAAATCATAGGAACACAGTGCTACCTACAACATTAAAACTGCTACCGTCGTGTGTGTGTGTGTGTGTGTGTGTGTGTGTGTGTGTGTGTGTGTGTGTGTGTGTGTGTGTGTGTGTGTGTGTGTGCGTGGGTGTGGGTGTGTGAAGGGAAAGGAGAAATTGTTGAGAGTAATCACTATGCATCTGTTGAGGAATTCAAGATCTTGAAGGAAGTTCTAGATCTTGAAGTAAGTTCTAGATATTGAAGGAAGTTGGACAACTAACAATGGCGGAGTTCGGATCTCTGGACAATTTGCTGCAGTCCGAGAGGGTGACGCCTCGAACAACGAGCCCAGACCCGAGGTGGGCCGGCCAGTGCTTTAGTTTCGAATCTCCTGTTTTTAACAAATACAACAAGAACAATAACAGCAGCAACAACATCAATAACAACAATAATAATAACGATAATAAAGCGTTCTTCTTTGAGAAGCGCCAAAATCTGGAGGAATACCTGAGGAAGTCGTTTGGCTCCACTGATGTGTTAGAAAGGGGAGGTAGAAGAGTTGTCCGGCCTCTGGAAGAGAGGAATAAATGGTGCAGTCACTCCGCGCTAGACGGGTTGTCTACCCGAGCGGCTGGGAGCGACAGAGGTGCCGCCTGGAAGGCTCGCCCGGTCCTGTTTGCCAGACTCGAACCTGGACCCACCAAACGCCTCCCTCACGCCCAATCCTCCGACTGCATCTTGGGGGTGAGGACCTCAGACGACGCAGACGACGACAAATTGCGCGCCTCTTCTCTTCGCCAGCGCCGACAAACTTCTCACTCGGACGACAAGTGCGAGGCTGCCGCCAAACGTAGATCCGCGGCGTCTGGTGGTTTGACGGATTCTCACGGCAGGGCCGAGTCTATTGCCAGGGCTGAGGCGATGCTCAGAGCTGAGCTCATCGCTATTTCCACGGGCAGAGCTGTAGCTATTGACACAACTGAACGTCAAGACGGCGTTTCTGAGTCTACTGGAAAAACGGAGTCTATTGGTAGATCAGATTCTGTTGGCACAAATAAGTCTGCAGGCAGAGTCGAGTCTACTGGGAAAACTGAGTCTATTGGTAGAGCAGATTCTATCAGCACTGCAAAGTCTATTGACAGAACCGAATCTACTGGCAGAACCGAATCTATTGGTAGAACAGATTCTATCAACAGTGCTCTGTCTATAGGCAGAAGTGAGTCCAAAGACAGCACTGTGTATAGCTGTCAGTCCGCGCCGTGTGTAGGTGTTGAGTCAAAGAAAGGTTCCCAATCATCCCCTCAAGACCCACACAAGTCTTCGAGTTTTTCCGACAACGCGGAATCAGCGCCATCTCTCGAGTCTCTTGATCAAAAGACAAAATCTGGGGCAACTCCTAAACCCCCACCAGGCCTCAGGCGCCTACGAGTACGCACCGACAGCGCTGGGCCTGTGTTGAAATCGAAAGTAGACGAAGGAACTTCCATCAAGCCTTACCTCTCTTCTGGTTCTTTGCTTGATGATTACGGTGATGATGATGATGATATCGAGGGGAGATCACTGAAAGTCCAACAACCAGAAGAGAAGCGTGCTAGTTCTCCCATTGTGAGGAACACAGCAGACTCACAGCCTTCGGCTTTTACGCCGCTTTCCGACAGCCTCACGAAGAGCAGACGGAGAATTTACCACAGAAGTAACGCAGCCTTGTCGCACTCTGGCAGCAAACCGGATGTTCTAGTGGCAGCCGAAGCGACTCGAGCCCAGCCACCGGAAAAACACAACGACAACGACGCTGCTCTCGCCGCTGATAACATCTCCCCAGACGTGAAAAACGCCTCCATGACTGGTGCGCCCAGACCTGGTCTCAGGAAGGCTGTAGCGGCCAGCACGCCGGAGTTCAGTCGGCGCAGTCTTGACGCCACGTTAGTGGAGAGGTCAAAGACCTCTAGGAGATCCCTGGATGCCTCCACAAGGTACTCCAGTCCTGCAGCCACATCAACGTCTCTTATCGTCGAGAAGTCTGACGTGTTACTGTTAAACACGTCCGCCGAGACGGAGGGCTTTGATGCGAATGAGAACAGCACCACTTCTTCCATCAGCGACATCTCCACCATCGAGGAAGATTCTACAACAGAAAGCCTCAGCCCTGACCTCAAGTCGACCAACGTGAAGCGCACTCTGTCGTTCCGCGAGGACCACAAACCTGGCAGACGAGACACGTTCAACATGACGTCAGAGGAACTAGCCTTCGCTTCCGGTAAACCCGTGTCTCCAACAACCGGCTGGGATTTCAAGGTCATCAAACGCCAAAAAGCGATATGCAAATCTCTGGATTCCGGCCTTCAAGAATCGTCCCCGCCTATATCGGAACCGTTACAAAAAATGGTGACGTCGATGCACCATCTGACGATAGCCCGAGCGTCCAAATCCAGCCCGACGTCCCCCCGGTCCCGGAAACCTCCACGCTCCCCGCGGGCCTCCAAAAACGTTCTCTCCTTCCCCTCCATGGTCTCAGAGGTTCTGTCCCCGACATGCGACGTGCCGTGTGCGACTCCCAACAAACTCTTGCACAAGCTCGTGCGACGGCTCAGCCTCAAACGGAGGACCCACAAAGAACCAAAGACGAGAAGCTCTGCGGAGATAGAGAGGAGAGGGAGTTCGCCACTTCTAGGGGATCCCAGAGCCATCCGCAAGAGAATGAGCTCTCAGGATTCGGGGATGGCGGATGATCTGAATCTCACGGACGCCGAGCGGACGCACTCTATTGACCTCGTGGTATGTGCCTTTATGTTTGTTTTGTTTTTCATCGTTCCTTGTGGGTGGTTGGCGGGTGATCTGGTGTGGTTTGCTCCTTCTTTCCTATCAAGCAACTATCGTCTTTATCTCACCTCCTTCTTTTTCTCTCCTCATTCATTTTTATGTTTGTTATTCTCTTGTAACACCTCTAATCTTCGGCACTTATATGACCTAAGTGTGTTGCAAGTGTCGAAAACACCCACTAAAGCTAAAAAATCGTTTCTGTCCTTTTTGGACACATCATTCATCACAACTCTCAAGTCTGTTTTCCGGGATGGCTTAAGTAAAACCTCCACTTTCTGTCTGTCATGGATAAATGCTTTTGTCGTTTGAAGTATCTCCTTTTGCTGTCTTTCTTTCTGTCTGTCTTTCTTTCTGTCTCTCTTTCTTTCTTTCTCCTCTCATTCTCCTTCCTCCCTCTCTCTCTGTCTTTTCTGTGTTTCCTTTCTTTCTCCCCCCTTCTCCCTCCTCTCCCTCTTTAACAATACTACTTTTCTATACCCACCACCATATAATTCACCAGAAAAATAATACAGTTCTTCCCACTATATTATGTATGCCCTCTACCTTATAAGTTCTAAGAATCTTACAGTTCTGAACCTACTATTTTATTACTTTAAAGCTACTTTTTTATGATTCAAATAATAATAACAATAATAA